AGTGGGGCATGATCCAGCACTTATTAATAATACATCTGCTCAGCGAACCCTTCACAAGCAGCCATGGTCAATTAAAATTCCCATTTTACAGAGCAAAAACTAAGATTTCAAGGGCTAGCGCAAGTCTTTAAGATTATGTGTGTGGAGTTACAGACTGGCTCAAATGCAAGACCCTTGGCAGATGATAAAGTGAGGGATCTGAGGTGCAGTCAAGGAAGAAGAGGTGAACTCCAGTTTGATGGAGAAGTGAGTGAGTGTGCAGGGCCCTAAGGATTCTGAAAGGCACAGTTGAGGACAAGAGGAATTCTAAGTGGTTGGAATGGTGTAATGCAGGCTGGAGACTGGAAAACACCAATTGTGAGTGGATACCTCGAGCTACAGGAAAGAGTGAAGCGAAATCATGAAAACCAAAGCTGGATATGGAGGGTTGGCCGGATCCCCACAGGCAGCCTGGGGTGCAGCTGGAGGTGCTCATTGCATTCATTAGGACATGAATGGCATGAAAGTTGGTTTGCTTGCTTTTATTTTTGCTAAACCCACCAGATGCCTGCAATGCGTTTAGCTGGAAAGAGGCTGCTCCTCTATGGGTATGGCTTTCAGGCTGCCTTCTCGTGGCCTGCTTGCATCCTTCCCATCATGGTATTGACCATCCATGTTGGCTCTGGTAGCAAGATGGGGGTGTTTCCAAATATCTGATTTGGAGATTTCATTTCTCTAAGAAATGTTTCCAGATGGTACAAGGACTCATCAAACTCCTATTATGAGAATATTTCCATGAGTTTGTTACTTTTATGTTTGTCAAAAAGTTTCACTCCTGTGCCTTTTCTTTCTGGCAGGAAAAATCGAGAACTGGAACCAGCTTCCATGAGGGACATTTATGGAAGGAATGTTTGTCCTCCTGGTTGCCATCTTCCGTTTGCATGAAGGCTGGGAGTTGGATAGAAATTTTTTTCAGCTTTAATTGAGTTTATTGGTACATTTTAGGGATACAGTACAGTTACATTCATAGTTGGGATCTTGTACCTCTACATGACAGGTCTTGGTTCTCATTTTTTTTCCTTGTCCCTGCCCTCCCTTCACCCCCTCCTCCCCTCCCCATCTACAACCACTTTATTTCCATCTTTTCATTATCTCACATTTTTTTCTTTTCCCTTTTTACCCTTCCCCTACCCGTCCCATCTTCCCTACACCTTTAGCTCCTTTCTTCCCATTTCTCAATGTCAGTAATCTTATTAGGATCTTCTGTATTATTGCAGATTATTCACACCAGAGAAACTATTTGGTAAAAATTTTTTATTTATTTTATTTTATGTTTATTTTATTTTTTTGGTACCAGGGATTGAACTCGGGTCCTTGCACATGCAAGGCAGGCCACCGAACCGCAGAGCTAAATCCCCGGCCCTGGATAGAAATTTTAACTGTAGTTAAAAAATTAAAAGATGAGCTAGGCATAAAAGGATGAAGCTGACCCAGAGAGAGATCAACAGTGATTCCAGGGAGAGGGAATCTCTGACTTTGTCATCTTCAGACTTGAAGCCTGTGACATTGAGTGCACTCACATCTGCTAAGGGTGCTCTTTTCTTTAATGCCTGCATTAAAAAAATAAAACAAAACAACTCATGAGCCCACCTGCTGAAGGAAGGAGAACCTCCTGCCTAGCAGTCTGAGGATTCCTGAGAACAGGGCCCACCTCATCTCTCTCTCTGAAGTCCTACACCTACCTGGAGCTGCCATCAGTTACCCACCATCCTGTCCCACACCCAGCCCTGCTTTACAGCATCTCTGCCATCCTCCAAAGTGTCGTGACCCTTCTTCTACGAGGTACGAACCCTGCTACAGGTTTTAAAATAATGGGGGCAGAGCTCCTCATGACATTTATATACCCTAGGATTCAAATGAAGAATGAAAATTTTACTTGAATGAAAAAGAATCCTTAAAGGCCTGAAGAGTGAGGACTGTAGTGTCTCTCCCTTCTCTTCTGTCCCAAGTTCCCTTGAACACAGAAAGGGGCTTGTGGCTGTGGACCCCCCCAAATCTAGTCTCTGTCCAGACCTGCTACACACAGCTACCCCTTGGCTGTGCAAGCACCTAACAGTGTGCCCAGTGTGGCTCAGTTCACTCTTGCAAATTAAGTCAGAGCAGACCCAGAAATGGGCTTGGGACATTGGTCAGAAAATTCTAGAATCCAGGGCAGGATATTGACAGGTGGTAGGCAAACTATAGCCAGTGGACAAACCCCATGGGAATTTCCATAAAATTGTTCCAAGGTCAGGCCCCCAAGGTCAAATCCCTGTTTTTGTATGGTCTACCAATCTCAGAGAAGTTTTACATTTTTAAATAATTTTTTTAAACAAAAGAGCAATCTCGTGTGACACACAAAAATGATTGAAATTCAGATTTCAGTATTCACAAAGTTTTAGTGAAATCCAAGTGTAGGCACATCCGTTCATATATCAATATACAACATAGCTGTGTTTTTTGTTTGTTTGTTTTTGTTTTGGGTACAAAAACTCAGGATCAAACTCAGGACTTTGCACATAGCTGTGTTTTTGACAGAGGCCAATTGATTGGCAAAGCCCATCTAGCCCTCCAGGAATGGCCTGGAGAAACAGAGAACAGGTTTCAGGCTCAGGTGGGCACTGTGAAGTCCTCACCTATGAGGAGGGGCCACTGTCAAGGAAGGACCAGAGGCAAGGCCCTAAAACACAGCCCCAACGGCCGTGCCCTCTTAGCAGTGACTAAAGGTATGTGGATGGTGGCAGAATTAAACACAATCATCTTCAAATAGAATGATGCATGTATTTTTTTCTAGGAATTCAGACCACCATTAGCTATACAAAAAATTCCTTTCTGGTTGGGTGCCTCCCGGGGTCCCCAAGCTACATTGTTAAATTTCTCTCCACTTGCTCACCACTCTACCCCTCAAAAGGGCTTTTCCCATCTTCTCCTAGACGTGTTCAAGCCCTTCCTCAGATCACCCCATCAGCAAGGAGTTCCAAGGTTTGTGGTCTTTTATTATGCGGTCTCCAGGGCTTTTTTGCTCATGGCTTTAAAATGTAACCAGAAAAACTGCAGACTGTGGTCAGTGCATGGTGGCTCATATCTATAACCCCAGAAGTTGGGGAGGCTGAGGTTGGAAGATTGGAAATTCAAGGCCAGACTAGGCAATTTAGCTACATCCTGTCTCAAACTAAAACAAAAAAGGTTGAAGATATAGCTTGGTACTCCTTGGGATGAATGCCCAGTGCTGTAAAACAAACAACTGAAAAAGTAAATTGTGGTCAAATACACATAACAAAATTCACCATCATAGTCACTGTTAAATAAATGTACAGTTTGGTGGTCATAAGGACATTTATGCTGTGGTGTAACCATCTCCAACATCCACCTCCAGAGTCCTTTCATCTTCCCAAATTGAAATTCTGTCTCTGTCAGACAACACAGCAATTCCCTCTTCCCGCTTCCCTGCAGCCCCTGGAAATCGCCTCTCTATTTTCTGCTTTTGTAAGTTTGACTAGTCTAGTCATCTCGCATTTGTGGAATTATACAGTATTTATCCTTTTACATCTGTTTTATTTTAGTCAGCATAATGTCATTAAATTTCATGCATGTTGAAAATGAACAAGAATTTCCTTCTTTTCACCAGGTGTACAGGTATGCATCTACAATCCCAGCATTCTGAGAGGCCGAGATTGTAATCTGAGGAAGGACAATTGCAAGTTCAAGCACAGCCCGCGCAATTTGGCAACTTAGCAAGACACTGTCTCAAAATTAAAGATTGGAAAAAAGGAGTCACAGTGCAAAGGTCCTAGGTTCAGTTCCCAGTGCCACAAAACAAAGAAGTGAATATTTTTAAAGAATTTCTTTCTTTTTAAAGGCTGAGTAATATTCCATTGTATTTCTATATGACATTTTGTTCATCTATTCAAGTATTAATGGATACTTGGGTTGCTTCCATGACTTTCCTACTGTAGAATAATGCTTCTACAAACATAGGTGTGTGACTGTGTCTCTTTAGGTCCCTGCTTTCAATTCTTTAATGTCCATACCCAAAAGCAGAATTATTGGATCATAGGTAATTCTGTCTTTAAATTTTGAGGAACTGCCATATTGATTTCCTTAGCAACTACAATATTTAATCTTCCCACCAATGGTAATCGGCCTCATTTTCCAAATATTTAAAGGCTCCCTAAAGTGGTACCCATCTTTAAAAATAAATTCAGTCTTTCTAGAGCAGTAGTTTTTAACCCTGGTTGCACATGAGAATCATCTGGGGAGGCTTTTAAAAAATATGATGGGCTAGGATTGTGGCTCAGAGGTAGAATATGTTTGGCAGGATTTGATCTCCAACATCAAAAACAAGAACAACAAAAATGCAAAAATAAAACAAGTTAAAACCCCAAGGTGCATATCTGTGTGTGGAGGGCATCCCAGGGCAGTGGAATTTGAGGCCCTGGGGGAGGAGTCTGGCACAGTGGTCTTTCCAAGCTCCCAGATCACCCTCCAAAGATGGCAGGGTCAAGAGCCACTGCCCTTGACAACTAGCTTGCCCTGCAGCCAGCTTTTAAAATAACTCATCTTTTGTGTAGCAAGAGGACCTCTCTGAGCACCCAGCTCCAGGAAGCAATCGACTTGTCCCCATACTCATGAGTGGTGTGGGACACAGAGGTGGTGACACAGGGCTTCCTGGAGTGATAGCGGGTGTGTTGGAGACAGAGGCCATCTGGAGTGGAGGGGATGAGGTCTGAGATTGTGTGGGCCACACCCTGCCCGTCAGCACCTACCCGCTTCCAGGGACACCTCTAGGGCCACTGCGTCCCAGGTTCCTCAAACCTCGCTTTCTGGAGGAAGTATCACCTCTCCAGACAGCCCCACAATACGCAGACTAAGCCTTCAGCCCTAACTAAACCCAGCTCTGAATTCTGAATCCTTCCCTCAAGTACCATTAAAATAAGCTCCCGGGTCAGAGTCACACAAGAGACACACGGAAAGGGATTATTTTTACAATTTTCCCTGTGAATCCAAATATCCATTACATTCTGCAGTGGTGATTTCAGAAGTATTGTTCAGCTTGGATATCTTCCTAGAAAGGCCTGAATGCCAAGAGGAATTTTAAGCATTGCTTTGGTGAAATATATTGACACAAGACCACGGTATACACTTTAAATGATCTAGAATGAGGAAGAACAGGCAGATTTTTTCCAAGAGTGGCCTTGTAGGTTTAATTGTAAAGTATAATTACTTCAAGACATCATAATTTGTTTTGTACAATATAAATCAGTAGAACTCCGTGGAATCATGTTTTTAATGTAGACCCCAAATAAAATGTTCTTTTATGACATAGCAGATGTTTCTTAATTCACTAGCGCCATGCATTGGGGTATTAAGATTATTCCTCGGCATTTTATTATGAATAACATACTTGCTCCATCATTAAGTGGGCCATTAAAGACATAAACAAGCTTTTATGCCCTGGTTTTCAACAGCTGCTGGTGGTCTACCAAGTGATAATCCAGCTTTCAGCAAATATTCTTCAGCTCCAAGAAATAAATACATTTAATAGGGCAACCTCGGGTCAGTCCACAGCTTCTCCAATCCTGGCTTGGGGAATTTCTTTAAACAGGAAAATAGCCTGACAGGGTGTCCTTTGGGGAAGATGCTTCAAGAGCTCCTGTTTCCTTAAGAGAGAGAGAGAGAGAGAGAGAGAGAGAGAGAGAGAGAGAGAGAGAGAGAGAAAAAAGAAAATTTTGAAGAAAAAAAAAAGGCAGGTAAATGCAAAAGAAAAATCATAATTATGCTGAAGACAAGGTGCCCGGGCTCCACATTCTCACAAACCCTAACCTGTGCTTTGAAAGAAATCAGCTGAGTCGGTTTTATGCCACAAACAAAGGGAGGTAGAGGACAGTGTAGGTCACAGGCCCACGTCCAGTCACTGGCGTTGAATCTGAGCGGATGTGACCCCTCCGTGACAATGTTCCCAAGGTGTATAGGGAGGAGCTCTGCATCTTATAACTAGGATGGAAGCCAGATAAGCTTTCCCTCTCCTCCACCTTGTACTTCCTAAAGATAACAACTGCAGCCAGCAGTGGAGCAGAGCAGGGGAGAGTGCTGAGATAGGAAATACCCGGGCCTGTGTTATCGTTGGCTCGCTGTTTCCTTGTTTCCTGTGCCAAAGGTAGTGTGAAGGGTGCTAAACTTTACAGTGCTAATGTCCATAACAACATCCTCCTACAAGCAGATGTGAGAAGAAGAAAAAAGGACAGGTGGGGGCGGGGAGGAACCTCATGGAAATTTGCATTAAAAGTCTGTGGTGCCCTCATCCCGGGAGACACTTGGGACACTGAATGAAAGGAGGAGAAGGTGGAATTGATTTTCAAGTCTGGTCAATTCCAAATCTATTACAAGATCTGTCATCGCCAGGAAGCACAGAAAGAGTTACAATATATATAGTAAATCGGCTAACACAGAACCTGCCTTTGACAGTTGGGCTTCCTGGGTACCTGAGTAAATGTTATTACAATATTTGAACTCTAAAGACTGTGGGGAAAAGGATACTTGTGTGAAATATTAAGCATCTTACCCTAAATGGTGAGTGATAAAGCAGAGAAGGTAGGAAAGCTTTTGTCTTTTGTCCATTTTCTATAAATAGGGTTTAGTAATAAATTTTCCCCCTTTTTTTGATTTTCTGATGGGGGTTTATTTTTCTTTTTGTGTCCTATTTCATTTTGTACTTGGATGTACCATTGTTCTGGGCTGGCCAAAACAAAAAAAGGAGAGGGGTGTGGGAGTCAGGAACCACATTGTGAGTGAACTTGGCAAAAGGAGTGAGGAGCTAACTTCCCCACAAGACACAGCGTCTGCGGCTGAAGGGAGTCTGTCCATCGGTTCTGCTCTGGACACAATTAAAATATTCCTGTGCCCTAATGGAATGGTTAATGTACCCAATGTAGTCTTTTCTTTTTTATGCTTACCTGATTGGAAAGCAAGATTTGAGATTACTTTTCCACTCTGTTAATTGCTGCTCTAATAGAATTTTATTGTGTGCCTGATGACATCACTTTGGAAATAGCATTCAATTGGGTGGCCTGTTTTCCTGAGGATGATTATACAAAATAAACATGAAAGCCTTTTTTTTCATAGCCACAGTGTTTCTAACATACACGCGCGCGCTTTTAACCACGTCAGAAAGGAAACAGGGCTGCCAACTTCACAGCATTCTACGTGCTTTTGAATTAATATTAGTCTATTAAAAAGAGCTGTAATCAGAAAAAAAAAATAGGCTGATTCGCACAGCAAACACATTTCACAGTTGTTTTGGACAAATGCCCTCAGTGAATATGTTTAAAGTCATGTACAACAGGACTATGTTATCACAAGTAGCCATGTTTTAATAAACACTTCATCTTTTTGTATTGCTTTCTTTTCATCACAATAATAGAAATATAATACCATATATCACTGTAGAACACATTTCCACATAAATGCTGATAAGCACAAAATATTTTTCATCATTTACATTTTTGCTGTAATAATATATGGCAGGATTAAAGTTGCATCCATCATGTGTCTAACTAACCTCGCTGTAATGAATTTTTAAATGTAATGGTTTCTGTCGCAAAGTAAAATCGTACATAATGTCTAGTGACATGGTGTGCTGGTGGATGGGTGGATTTTAAAATGTAAATGCTACTTCTTTTCTAATTAGATTTATAAACTTCACCACTACCACTTGCCTCCTCCTCCATGCCTGATTATTTAAAGCAAGAAATACTAGAAGCATGAAATTGTGAGGTACATACTGCCTAACAGCTCGCTCCTTGAGTTATTTGGAATCACCTGCTTGTGGGAAGTCTGTGAATTCTGTGTGCGCGCGTGTGTTTTTCAGAACAGCCAGATACCCAATAGAAACAAAAGCTTACGAAAATCGTGGCAAGAGAAGCTTTCTAGGGTGTCTGGAGGGGTTTCACTACCCCGGGCACACTCTATTTAGGGTGGGGGGCATGAGGGCTGTGGGTTGGGGGGATCTGGGTCAAGGACAAATGAATCCCTCTCTCTCTCTCTCCCTCCCTCCCTCTCTCTGCTTGAAATAACAAATAAGCCGACTTACCAGAGAAGAATCATTAAAAATAATTTGCACAAGCTTTCAGTTGTGTGAGCTCTTTTTTGATACAATATTTCCTTCCATGATTATCACTGCGGACATGTTCCAGCCATATGGAAGTGAGCAGGGCTGGGAGCTTTCCACAATACCTGAGTGGTTAATTAAGAGCCGTTGCCCGGCCACAAGAAGCAGGTTTGAAATCCCTCTTCAGTCTCCGACAATGAGTAGCTTTTTTAGCAGCAGAAGTCACCAGGGACAGCCAGAAGCGAGGGTAATTATTTGAGATAACATACAGCTGAAGAGAGTGTGTATGAGTGTGGAGAGGGGCGGGGGGGAACCGGGGGGAACGATGTGCAGTTGAAAGAAGGGCAACAGTAGAGAAAAGTCTATAATAAAAAGGTCAACATCTCCTATTTTTCTGTACAGTGTCGACAGTCTGTAATGCCTTTTTAGCATGAATGACAACGGATTCTGTCTTTTTTTTTTAAAGGGGGGAATATCTTATTTTGTATTCAAACTTTGCAATTGTGAGTTCAGGCCTGCCAGCACCATCTGAATAAGCTATTCTCACTTTATCAGGGTTTGCTGAACTGACTTTGATTGCATTGTGGCAAAATAGCAGTAATTTTTCCATTAACCCATACAAACCCTCCGTGAGCAGGAGAACAAAGAAATATCAGAGGGATGGAAGCCATGAGTGCCGGCAGGGAATCCAGGAGTCTCCTCAATGACTCCAAATGCAACTGCACACACCCACATCTTAGGCTGGCTAGGGCACACCATGGATGCCGTTTTAGGGTCTCTTTGTGGTCCCATGGGGTTTGAGTCTCGGTGGGTGCCTTTCTTGCCAAATTCTATTGTCTTCTCCACTTTAGCTGGGTAAGGAAGGCTTAGGGCAGAGGAGGGCTGGGTTTTCCTCTCTGCAGAGGGGAGATAGTTTCATTCTGTAACTTTCTTATGCTAGGGTGGCCTCAGCCTTCACCCAGGAATGAATGTAAGAGCGCTCAAATCCCTTTCAGAGCCCAGACCTGTTTGCACAGAGCAGCCTGCCTTTCCTCCAGCAAAGAGGCCAGAAGGCAAGGGGTGGCATGAGTACACTCCTTTGGCATCTGGAAGTGGGCGAAGGACCCCCCCAAGCCCTCCGACATGACACTTGGTCATTTCATCATCATCTGAATGGGTTTAGTGGAGCAGATGCCACTGTAAGATTTCTAGTTTTGAGATAGGGGTGTGTTGGGCCAGGATATAGCTCAGTGGTTCCACAGCCTGCCTTGGAAGCAGGAAGACTGGAGTTAAGTCCCTGGTACAAAAAAAAAAAAAAAAAGGAGCGGGGTGTGAATCTGTTGTTTTATGTAAATGGAGCCACATTCATCTGTTGTTTTATTGATGGGAGGAAATGCAGGGCAGGCAGGGTCTGGCTCTGCCCTCTCCATAGGCAGAATGTGCATTTGGAAGCATCAGGCAAGGCTGAGATGCTACTGGTGAATTCCTATAGAAAGTCCCAAAGTCAAGGCACCCACGGTTAAGGTGATCAACATCAAAGCTTGCCTTCTCCTTCCTCTTCTTTTTCTTAAAATTTAAAAGATCCAGAAAGTTCAGCTCATCTCCACTATGGGGGTGGGCAAAGAGCTGAGGTCTACAACAGTAATGGTCTCCCAGCCCCACAAATAACCCCATTTATACTGTGGTGTCCCCCATCATCACCCACATCTCAGCTTTGTTTAGGAGCTGCCCTGTATGTTAATTACCTCCTTTGCATCCACAGCATGGTACTGTCAAACCGTACACCAGTCTTTAGAAAATAAAAGCAGGGCTGGTGAGTCTGCGGTACCCAGTTCCTGTTGTACCCAGTCCTTGACAATTCCTGAGCTGTCAGATGCAAGGCAGCGGCGCTTGGAATAAAGGTGGGCAGATGTGTGGTAATGAGACAGAAGTGTGCAGATGCTAATAGGTCTTCTCATCAGCACAGCCCTGCCTCGGTGAGACGGAGCCAGGTAGCAGCTGCGGACTGTCAGGAAGCCTGGATGCCACTTCCTCTTGATTCTCATTTAAGATCTGCTTGCATGCTGCTGTCTGTCAGCAAACTTCTCCCTCTCAGGAGCTCCAACCCCTGGGTGATCAGTCACATTTTGACATAACTAGATGTCAAAAGAAGTTTAAGTCGTATGACGCACTGTGATGCAGTCAGCGCCAGTCCCCGGCCTCCGCGGTGGCTTCCTAATGATCTGCCTGGAAACTCTGGCGCCTTTTCCTGCGTTTTGTTTTCTTATTAAAATACTGGCTAAGTCTTTGTCAATATCCGTGTCGGCAACTGTGAGCTCGAGACAATATTATCCCGAGCATAATTTAATTGTAAATGTGGAACTGAGACCCAAGCTGGGTGGGATAGAGGGAGGTTTGTGTTGAGCAAACAGGCCCTTCCTCCAAATGGCCCATTTTAGCATCATTAATTAAAATGAGGTTGTTTAGGGATTTATGTCAGTCCTAGTTGGAAGGCTCGTGATCGGAAGGGGAAACCTGGGGCCACGTGAGAGGTGTCACCATGGGCTGGTCCTGAACCAGAAGTGTGGGAGGGAAGCTGAGGATAATAGATTGGGTCTTTGAGAAAGTTGTTCCAACCTACAAAAGTCACAAAATAGAAGTAACCAGAGAATTGTCATCTTGCATACCAGCAAGACCTGAAAACAGGAGCCTGAACTTTATCAGGTCGTTGTGGGCCACCTTGGCATGGTGTGTGCTGGGGATGTGCTGGAGAGGCGTTTCCCAGGGTCTGGGGGCAGAGAGGAGTATGCCATACGCACCCTTGAGGTTGCCATGAGGCCTACCGGCACAGCGCTCGGCCTTCTTTGTGACTCATGCATTTCTTGGAGCATTTAATTGGGTCAGGTCAGTTTGTTCTCTAAATATTTTCATCTTCTACCACCTCTGTTTACATTTCCATTGGGAAAATAAATACTGCATGTCGCTTCTGCCCGCTGTATTTTCTTAGAGATTTTAATCCTGATTCCTCATGAAAGGTTACACACACACACACACGCACACACACACACACACACACACACACCCTCCTATCCTGGTGTGAGGGCACCACAGTTCATAAAATGCTTTTCTTCTCATCAGAGGCCACAGGGATGTGCTATGGAAAACTCACACCACATTGACATAATGAAGCATTTGGAGAGTTTGACAGTTCTCAATCAGAACGCAGCGAGACTCATCCAGAGTCTAAGCAAATACCTTTCCCTTGTTTCATCTCTCCAAACCCCCATCCCCTCACCCGTGGCCTCCCCCAGCACAACTCTTCCTTAAACAAATCACACAGACTGGCTCCTGCGCCCTCATAAGCTCTCACATGAAACAGCCTTCTCCCCAACATGCTGATATTTAGTAGCCTGAAGCTCATTAGTACTTCGCTGCTTTACCCTGGAGTTTTAAATTTTTAAGCAGCTAGGATTCATCTAAGAGGTCTTAACCTTATAATTTGTAATAACTTAGAGATTGAGTATCTAAAGTGTGGTTTATCAAAAAAATGCTCTTTTCCTGCACCAGCCATTCATGGATTTCCCTTACAACCAGAGCCTGTGCTATCAAATCAGCAGACGGAAAATGCTCATTTATTTCTCCGTAGTAAAACACAAGCAATTATGAGACATTTCTTAACATGATTGATCTTGCTTTAAAGGAAAGCCCAGGCTGTCAGAGCTGCCTGTAGGTGCCGCAGGGGTGAAAAGAGACGAGAAGGAGGAGGGCCAGCAAGTTCAAGGTGTACTGGTTCGGTATTAGACCAGTGCCATGATAATTGCAAACTTGGACCTTAGCCTTCCACAGGAACAGGGGGCAGTACCTGCTGATTTCTGTGTAGGGCCATGCATGAAGCAAGGCAGCATTGTGGAAAGCATGTCACAGTTTGAATTTGAGCATCGGAGCTGTTTAATTCTAATCCAGTTGCTTAACCTCCCTGGACACCAGACTTTTTTTCTCTGATAATAGTCACAGAACCAGCATCGTTAGTTTGATGTGAACAGGAAAGGACAAATCATAAAAAATTACCCAGCATAATGCTGGTGTTATTATAGCGAATACTAGAAACACCAAGCTCCAGACACAAGGGGTAGAATACATGCACGGTTATGACCCAACCTTAGCCCCTAGGAACTTCCAGCCACTAGGAGGGGAGAAGAAGCCTCGCACAAATCGGGCTAATTATAATGTGCAGGGAGCCAACCAGGGAAGGTGTATTTCCTTTTATTTCTGCTGCTTAGAACAGGGCAGGGCTCCTGTTACGCCGACTAAACTTTGTCTAAAAATTATCTACGGACCACCTAATGTGTGTCGAAGCCACACATGTCAGATGTGTCAGCCTCTCCCCGTAATGACTCTGACATCAACAGTAAGGAAGAAATATTACAATTACCGAGGGTGCTGAAGCCCAGCATGCATTTTCATGAGAGGCCTTGGTGAATGGCAGCGCGAACTCTAGCAGTCAGCTTCCCCTGCCAGCCAAGCTGGCCGAAGAAAGCGCTCGTCCCCCTAAAGACAATTAAATGAGCTAAATGAATTAAAAGGGCCCTTCCCTGCTAGAGTACAGTCAGAGGTTAGAAACAGTAGTATGTGGATTTATGGAAGCGCCGTGGCTGCCAAGTCTCAGGAATTGTGGGCCACGGGGGAGTCATCTCAGTGGGAACCTAAACAGCTTATGAAATTGGAGGTGATATGCATAATTTTACATTTCTGGGAGGCAGTTTTCATGCCTCTGTTTATTTTGGCTTCTTGGGTCAGGAGAAATATATTCCCACCCCAAATTAGATTGAGAGAGAGAGAGAAAGAGAAAGAGAGCACACGAGAGAAACTGCATCTTTGTACTTATTAGAACAATGGGCAAACCGAACCAGGATTTTCCGATTTGGAGACAGTGGAGATGGGCCAACAGACAGTAAAGTGGAGGAGGAGGAGGTAGGAGTGTCCGAAGCCCCCTGCTACTACTTACCAGCTAGGGATTTCTTAGCCTCTCCATGCCTCGGTTTCCCCATCAGTAAAATGGGGCTTGCTGTCTCTGCCTTGCTGAGCGGGTATGGTAAGTAAGGCGCTGGCACACACATATGTTCAGCCAGCATCTGATATAGTCTGGGCCACCCCTGCCAACCCTGGCTGCTGTGACACTGTTGTCATCCTTTCCCGGGAAAGTAGGAAGTAGAATCAGGAAGGTATTGCGTGGGGGACAAAGGTCACAGGACCTGTCCCCAAACATCAGATACTGACAACACACAGAGGCCACAGAAGGATGTTTGTTAAATATCCCAAGCATATCAGTCCCCTGCACATCCAGCTCTGGTCTCCCTGGCTCCTGCTTCATCCCATCAATTTCAAAAGAAATCCAAGCACCCTCCATTATTTCCCGCCGGCCCCCTGCCACCCCCCCGCCACGTCCCCAAAGTCCTCGGGTGTTTGTACTCTCTCGCCCATTACATGCGCAAGCCCCATC